CCACCACAACCCACGAATCTAGCAACCACAAACAAACTTACCACGAACCCACAAATTGTAGGCGTCGCTCGAAGTGCGCCTACGTTAAAAGCATGTGGTGAATATGCTTGACACTCTTAGGAAGTGGGAATTGACATATACGATTAGGGACAAGGAAAGTAGGGAGTCGCCAACAAGTTTTAAAGGAACTTGTAAACCGTTGATCACGGATCATAAAAGGCAACCACGATAAAGGGACAACGAAGGCAACAACGATTGACCCGTGAAGGTTACACCCCATTCATAATCCATGAAATTACTAACTCCATATGGTTCGGAACCACGAAAGGAGGATCGGGGATGGTGGTACGAAGTGAGTCATGGAGTCACATTCGCCCGTATTGGCCTCTACTCGATTCTTATAGTGAAAAGCATTCATGCAATCTCAAAGGCATACAAACAGAGATTTGATTTTCTCCAAACTATTATTAGGCTAAATTGGTTGAATATTAATGCAACACATAATTCTAAAATATTTGTGATCACTTGAATTAAGCAACAAGATTAAAAAGGAACCTAAACCGGCTGTCCAAATTATCTTATTAGGCGTGATTTTCAATTACATATTCCCTTTAAACATGCAATATTGTGATCATAATAAATAATAGAATAATTAACATTAATATAGGAAGCAATTTAACAATAATTCCAACAATACAAAATCGTTAGAAAAATAATAGTATTAAAAGGAACATAATTCTTACTTTGATTTTGTTTGCTTGCAACTACAAAATAATAAACGAGTTAGTAACTTCAAGGAAATAATAGAACAATAATTAAATTAAATTAAATTAAGTAGAGTTGATTTAGGGCCAAACCCTCAAACAGTTCTACCTTTCACGCCTTGGCTTAAGGACAGAACCACGAGAAAAGTATGGACTCCTAGGAGTGCTTGAAGAAGGAATTTTGAAAGAATAAGGGTAGGCTAGTGTTTAGGCTAGAGCATAGAAGAGAGAAAAAACTAGAGAATTAATTGATGCCCCCGTATATCAGAAATAAGGGGGTATTTATAGAAAAAATGTGTTGAGGGAACACACAGAACCCTTAAATGATAAAAACCCTAAAAAAGTATCCCGCGACACGGCAAAGTGTACCGTGACACGGGAAATCCCACCGTCAGACGAGAAACATTCCCTTGACACGATGCACATTTTGTGTGATGCGGGAAATGTTTAGTGAACGGGGGAGAAAACGCGTTAAGGGTTTACGCGGAAAGGACACGGAAATTCCCGTGTCACAGCAGGTTTCCCGTGTCACGGGGAACCCCATCGTCAGACGGAAAGTTTCTCGTGACACGGTGGACTGTTGCCGTGAACGCGGGAATTTTTCAGTCCGCTTTTCTGTCTAAATTCATTTTTTAACCCTAATTTCGTTCAGCATTTTAAGTACCGATTGATAATTTCGGGCCATATTCTGATTTTATTATTATTTGGGCTAAAATAAACAGTAAAATAAAAAAAAAAAAAAAGGTTTGGGCTAAAATTAAATAATAAGTTTGGGCTGAAATTAAAACTATGCTTTGACCAAACATCAAGACTAATCCATGGACTATTCAAAAATTGAATTTAATCAAATACGATTTTTAAGCACTCTCGGGATTAAATATTGAACCGACCAATAGTGGCGGTGAAAGGTTGTTCATCATCGGGTTTGGTTTTGGGGAGACATTTTTAGGTGTCTATACAAACCCTTCTCTATCATCGATTACAACATTAATTGGTCAAATTTAATCATCAAAACTCTAGATCTAGAGTTTTGATGGTTAAATTTGACAAAAAAACCTTCGAATTTGGGTTTCATAGCCAAATGAGGAAACAAAAGGCGAAGGAAGAGAGAGAAAACAAAGGCGGCGATGTAGGTGGTGGTTTCCATTAAAGATGTTGGTGGTGGTAGTGGCGGTGGTGATGGTGGTGGTTTCCATTGAAGGTGGTGGTTGCCATTGAAGGTGGTGATTATGAAGGAAGAGAGAGAAAACTTATGAAAGAAGATGTTGGATGTAGATGGAGGGGAATGAATTAGGATGAATATAGTGATAAGGTGAAATTAATTAACCTTACATATTAAGGTAATAAGAACAAACTTATAATTTAATTAGGATGTTTATAAAAAAAAAGTAAGGGTAAAATTGTCATTTTATGGTCAAAAACTTACTAAAAAAGGAAAGACAATAATTTGTTGCGAGTAATGTGAAGCAGCCATTTTAGGAAACTGTTGCGAGTAATCTGAAGCGAAGGTAGTATTATTATTGTAATCTTTGTATATTAGTATAAGAGTGAAGTATGAGAGTTGTGAGTGTCGTGGAGTGAGTCGTGGGTATTTATTTGATAGGGGTAAAAATGTAAAATCCTAAAAAAAATGCGAATGATGCTTAGTAAAAGGGGAGCAACGTTTTACAAACCCCACTTAGAAAAGGCTTATGTTAGGCTAGAGTGGCCCTTCATAAAACTTTGTTTAGCAATCCTTCAACTTCCCTAAAGACTCCATTTCTCTTATCATGTCTTGCATCACCTCTCTCACTTCAAAAATCCCTATCAATGGCAAGCTGTCACACATTTTCATTTTCATTCTCTAGAGGTATTAGACAAGGGGGGCCTTTGTGGTCCCCTTACATTTTCATTCTCTATCTTGAATACCTTTCCAGAATGATTCATGATGAATGTCACAAGAAGAATTGGATGCCCTTCAGATTCAAAGGAGGTAGTACTCTAATATCACATCTCCTCTTTGCTGATGATTTGCTTGCTATTTGGGGTGGCTAATAAGAAAACTCTACTGTATTTAACTTAGAATGAAAAAATTTTGCGCTCTTTCTGGCCAGAAGATAAATGAAGACAAGAGGCAAATCTACTTCTCAAAAAACACCCCAATTAGCTAGCATTGTGGATGACTTTGAACAAGCCTTAAATGTGACTAAATAATTAGCTAATCTAGGCACATATCTGATCCCCTTTCTGAGAAAAAACCCACTAAAACCCAGTTGTTTAAAATCATTGAGAAAATGGGGAAAAAGCTTGCAGCCTGGTAAACAAACACTCTTTCAAGGGGAGGGAAACTGATCCTACTCTAATCAACCCTTCTCTTTATCCCTAGACACCAAATGACTTGTCTAAAGTTTCCCAAATACATTACAAATAAACTAAACTCCATTTGTTCAAATTTCCTTTGGGGAGGGGGAGGAAATTCCTTTACTAAGAAAAAAGAGAAGGGAGGTCCTAGGTTTTCTCAATCATGATGAACTGAACAAGCTTGGTTGGCAAGACTGTGTTGGATGTTAGATGGGAAAACAAACTACGCAAGGAAGATTTTGTTTGAAAAGTATGTGAGGAATAAAGGATCCCACATTTGGAATGCCTTAGGGAAAGGTTGGGATATTTTCAAAGAGAACCTCAAATGGGAACCTGGAAATGGAGACACCATCAACTTTTGGGATGATGCATGGCTTCATGCAGAGAATATCAAAAGAAAACTAATAGGTCCTCTGACTATCTGAGCTTAAGCTCAAACCCTGAGCTCTCTACTAATCCACTCCAAACAGGAGTTAGAAGAAGCAATTTAATTCTACCTGATGAGTTGTTTGCCAGGATTCATAATATCAACCTGTCATTGACTCTAACTTCACCTTGCGGAGTAAAAAAGGCAAGTTTGATAGCAAGCTAGCCAAGGATTGGCTTGTTAATAATAAGGCTCAGCCTCACCAGGCTCCTCATTTTCAAACCATTGATTAGAGGACCATATGGTTAGCTGATACTTACCCTAAAATTAAGTTGTTCATTTGGCAACTTATCTAGGACAAACTTCCTACAGCATCAAATCTCTTCTTTAGACATGTTGGACCATCTAGAAAATGTATTTTTTTTTTCCTTCGAAAGAAGAGGATTCATCCATATCTTCCATTCCTGCCTAGAGCCACTGAATTCTGGTCAAAACTAGTAATTCCACCTAGCTGCTCTAAATCTCCAACTAAACCCCTGCATTCTTGGTGTCAAACAATCCATAAAGCAACTCCATCTCCTTTTCTAACATTCCATGGAATATCCTCTTTTCTTTTGTCATTTGGCACATATGGAAAAGGAGAAACCAATGAATCTTCTCAAAACACAAACCAAAACCTTAAAAAATTAGTTTTCCCATTGTATTTGGGCTGCTAATGAATGGTTATATTCCTCTAAGAATCATGATGCTTGGATAGATCCCGATCTTTCTACATGGGAACCTCCTCCTTCTTCTGCCCTTAAAATTAATGTGGATGCTTCCTTTGTTCATGCCACCAAAGAGTTAAGTTGTGCGGGTGCTTGTAGGGATAATTATGGTAAATTGAAAATGGGGTTTCCAATGGAGGGGCTTTTTTGCTTCTCCCAAGGAAGCTGGATTTCATGCCATCAGGATAGCAATATAGTGGATTCAAGGAAAGGGATGGCATAGCTGTTGTATTGAAACATATTGTAAATATCTAGTAGATGAGCTGACCAAACCAGAATTTAGCTCCACTTTAACTCCAAATATAAATCTTTGGAGGTTGCAGCTACAGGAACCACCTGAAGTGAAGCTTTATTATGGTGAAAGAGGAAAGAACAAGAGGTTGATATGCTTACTAAGGAATCACGTGGGAGTTCAAATATTTTGTTCAGGTTGTGTAATATAGTTACTCCCCCTAGTATTTGCATTAGTTCTTTAGTAAAGGCTCTGTCAGGATTTTCTAATGTTGGTGATCAGTCACTTGTAATTTTGGGCAACCCTCTTTTACCTTTGTGAACGTTGAATGTAGTAGTTAATCCCCTCTTTTACCTCAAAAAAAAAAAAAATAAAAACACTACTAGAAAAATATTTATTTGCTGCTATTAATTTGCTGCATTTTTGTTAAAACGCTGCAAATTAAAAGGGTTTTAAATGTACATGAATCAAAACTATTTATTTGCAGGGGTTTTTTAAAGAATACGCAGCAAATCAATATTTTCCCCTTACACTTTCATCCTTACCCGCCCTAAGCCCCTAATTCATTTCACTCACCCCTCCCTCACGTTCTGCTTGCTTCTTCTGTTAAAAAAAAAAAGTTCTTGCTTCAAACTCCACCACCTCACTCTCCACCACCTCACTTTCCACAACCATCGCCGACCGTTCCTCCTCGTCAGTCTCTACAAGCGGCCGCCGCAGCCTCACCGTCGAATTGTAGGACGAAACCCTAATCAGGTAAATACTTTTTTTTTTTTTTGTAAATCAACGATTATCAATTTGAGTTACTCATAGTAATTTCATCGACTGTCAATTTCACAATTGTTGGGTTTGTTGAAGCTAGAAATAACGAATCATTGAAGCAAAAAAAAGTCTCATTTTTTCGTCAATTTCACAATTGTTGGGTTTATTGGGTTAATTTTTTCGTGAATTAGCTTTCTACCTTGTTCCAGGTTTTAATTTTATCAACTTGCTGCTTCTGGGTTGTTCGGATTTGTAGTGAATTTGCTCATTGCAGCTTGTTCTAGGTTTTTATTTTTATTAATTTGTTGCTTCTAGGTTGTTCTGATTTTTTTTTTTTGCATGAATTTTCACATTCTAGCTTGGTCTGCTGCTTCTGGGTTGTTTAGTATCTTTTTATGAATTTCCTCAATCTAAGCTAGCTTGTTCTTGGTTATAATTTTTATCGATTTGCTGCTTATGTGAATTTGGTAATTTTTTGTTAGACAATTTTGATACCCATTTAAATCTGTTGATTCAATGAACTGGGTTTGCGTGTGATTTTAGATTTGTTTAATGAACTGTTGCATTGGTGATTGAGAATATTAGGAACCCATTTTATTGCTCCATTGATTTCATGAATTGAGTTTGCTTATGATTAGAATGTATCTGGTGTATGTATTATAATGTATGAATAATGAAAGAGGGAGTTGAGTAAAGTCATTGCCTTCAAGGGTCAATGTATCACAACAGGGATATAGTCTTAAGCAGAATATTAGGCAGAATATATTGCCCAACTTCAAAGCATTAGTTTTGCCTCTCCCTGTTATTGGTGTATTCCTTTGATTACTGCATTTTATCTGTGACAGTGATGATGATATTACTGCGTACCCTGAAACCTCTGGAGAATTATTAATTATCTCTTAAAAACATTTCCAAGGTATTAGTTCAAGACTCAATGCTTGTAGTTAATTTATTTTAAATGATGATTTAGTGTACTTGGTTACATTTTTATGCTAATGCATTTTTTCACTAGGAAGTTTGTTGAACAAATGAGAAGTGAAGGCCAAACATATGATCACTTTTGTCCTTGCTAGCTTGGCACCAACCACCTTTAATTGTGACTTTGGTACGTTATCTTTCCTTTCATATTTTTCTTTATAAGTTCCATATTGTGTACCCCTTAAGTATACATACATGTGATGAATTTTACATTCTTACCTTCTGGCGTAGGGAACATTGGATGCTTTTGGTAATCTGTGTACCTACTTGCACTATTTATCAATTTGACTCTGCTCGACCAACCACGACAAGGAGAAATGTTAAAATGAAGACTATTGTGAGCTTGTAAGTCTATTTTATTGTTTCTTGTTTCTATATATACATTATATGTAAGACATATGCAACAAGTAATATACTTATAATTCTACTTTTGTAATGAAAATGAATAGTTTTTTCACGAGGTTTAAGCTAAATGGAAACCGTGTGAATAGAAAAGAACCTCTATGGAAACTTGTGAAGGTAAGTAAATAGTATGTTTTAGATGATATCGTATGAATGGAATCTATTTTGGTACCCTTAAAACAATTATACACCTTAATTTGTTTTTTTTTTTTTTTTTTTTTTTTTTTTTGTTGAATTTTACTTAGTGTGCTCAACAAAGAGGTGGTACCGAGTGTGGCTTTTACACAATGAGATACATGTATGACATACTCTCCAAATACGGTGAAGAAAATGATATTGATGAGGTATGAGTATGACCTTTCATTCTTATCATTACTAATGTCTTCAAAATGAATCTTTTATTTATATATAGCCTTATTTAAACCAAATAAAGGTATCCAACAAATTAAAGGCGTTTTTTTTTTTTTCACAGTTGCATCATTTAATTTTTTTTTTTTTTTTTTTTTTTTTTTTTTGGTAAATCACTGTTGCATTATTTTGAATCTAGCCTGTTTTTAAGGACAATGTGCTAACTAATTTATGTGCCCACTGAACCTTTGTTAAAGTAATAATCTATTTGATGCTTCAGTTGGTGTTTGGGATTACTTAGTACCACATATTAAGGAGACATTAATCAAGATATCCTTTGTTTTTGTGCATCAAAGCTAGCATGGCTGCTCGGGTGTGACGGGGCTTAGAACAAAACTTAGTTATATGACCGGGGGGGGGGGGGGCAACTCTCTACTATGTTATTATTATTGTTATTAAAATTACTTTGATGACTTACTATATATATTTTATCATGTTCATAGGTTTGCATGTCTTTAAATGAAGATCCTTACACTGATGATGATATTGAAGAAGTGCGGAACATATGGGCATCATATTTCACTAATTATTTGCGTGTGATCATAGTTTCGCAGCAATATTTTTTGACTTTTGTTTTGGAGTGATTATTTTTTGTATGTAGAAAATTGAATCGTACAATACAATTTATCATATGTATTGTGGTAATCTAATTTGGGCTAATTTAAAGTATTTTGTTCATAAAGTTCAGGAATACAGGTCCTTCATGGGTATATCACACGTAAAACAGAGGAGGTGCTGTCGAAATTTTGATTTATTAATTATTTATTACCAATAATGGATTTTTTTTTTAAAAAATACTATTAATTAGCAGCGGGTGTTACACATAAAGCGCAACAAATAATTTATTATTTTATTAGTAGAATGTATTTATTTGCGGGGGTTAAAATAGAAATCCGCCGCAAATAAATGCATTGATTTGCAGCGGATGTCGCCGCAGCAAATCAATCAATCGATTTGCTGCACTGGCGTTTGCTGCCATTCCAAAACGCAGCAAATTAATGATTTTTGACCGCTGCAAATAAATGTTTTTCTAGTAGTGAAAAAGTGCTTGAATAACCATTGTTACATCACTGGTTAGCTCTAATAATTGCATAGGCGGATCTACTAGGTGCCTAGCATGTGCCTCTTCATTGTAAACGAAAAAAAAACGTTTAAATTCTTTTACAAAAGACTAATTAGTATTTATTACGAGTAAATGAATTTGAATATTTGAATGGCTTAGCACTACTCCGTATAAGAGTATCAACTAAGATCAAGACCTTTTTTTTACAAGGTTTGTATGAGTAAAATTAACCTTTGTTTTGTTTAATCTATTTATCTATTTAAAAATGTCCCTAAAAATGTTTATGTGCTATGTATGCATGCCCCTTCTTTCACTAGCGTCACTGCATAAGGTTGAATATCAAATCAATTGAATGAAATCCTAACTTATGGTTATGACCGTCTTAGCTTAAAGTAGTACAAAATTACAAATTGGGGTGTATATTTTTGAATATCAAATCACATTACATTATTATTGTTTCCATTATATCATAATTACTAACAAAACCCAAAAAAATTATAACTTTTAAAAAAAAGAAAATAAAAAAAAGTCGTTAAACTTTAAAATAAAATTGAAAATTATTCAAGTAGCATCCAGAGTAAAACCTAGATCACACACTGGTTATTTTGTTAGTTAGTGCCCAACTGATTTTATTTATCAGTTCTAGATCATCTTTTAGTTACGACCAACTCAAGTCTAGCTCTTAATTCGCTATACTGAAAATGGTTTAGGAGTAAAGTATTTGAAAGTATTATACAGTCCCTATAGTCTTGTATTTGTCATCTTTTAGTCCCTCTGAACTATTTTGTGCATTTTTCCCTCATCTTCATGTTTGGTGTTTGTCAGCCCAAAGTCGAGGGACCTATCCTACTCAGCAATGTTTAGGGACTATGAGTCATCAATTTTTTTATTATTTTTTTATTTTTGTCCAGAAATCTAATTAAAAATGATTCTTTTATACTGAGGCTAAGTTGACAAAGATCAACATCATAGGAAAGATTTTTTAGTCAGTCGTTACAAACCAATTAAATATGATACTACCTTAAATATATGGCAAATTTGTTAAAAACAAATCTTTTTAAATGGCACATTTTGCAGAAAAAAAAAATCTTTTAACGATTTTTTTGTTTAATAAAACCAACACGTTTTTTTTTTGTGTAGAAACTCCCCCCCTCTTTTCGGCATTGACTACAACTTCCCGGCATTGACTTCTTTCTTTTCACTACTTGCACCCCAGATTTCAATATTTGCACTCCACCTTTTAATTTCCCTCTATTTTCCCTCCAACTCCCCTCTATTCTCGTTTTCTCCTTTTTCTTCCATAAATTCTCTGCAATTCCATCACATCAGTTTGGGCTTCTCTCTCTCTCTCTCTCATCTGCTGCATGCCATTAGTACCTCAACAATAACCTTAAGTAATATTAAATTCGTCATAATTTTACTGGAAATAGCAAAAAAAAAGGGGGGGGGTCTTATTTTACTATACTTTTGAACTCACGAATTTCTTCTTTTCAATGGCTAAAGAAGGAAGAAAGGGGTCGTTTGGACGCAAAACAAGGTTCCCCAAATACGTTGTTAAACACAAACCAAGGTACGTTGTTGTTCAATTTTGCACTGAAAATGCATAAATTGCGTAAATTGTTAGGGTTTAACAAATAACTAATTAGACAAAAAAGAACCTAATTAACCTAATTGTTGGAGAATTTGTACTATGTTGTTGATGCAAAACCCACTAACATTGATTAATTATAGTTGAATTTGTTGACTTGAATGGTTCACATGTAACCCGAATGTTGAATTTCTTCGATTTTGTTTTGGTTTATTTGTTTGTCAAGTTTAATGGTAGAGTGAATATGTTTGAACCTTAGTTTATATTCATGGAATCGATTAACATTAGGATGTACTATGGTGGTCATTTTGTGACTAAGAATGACAAGACAACTTATGAAAAAAGCCAAATGTAGACCCGTCAAAGTGGGGGGGTTGCATTGCGTGTGAATGTTGAGGAGGCGCGCTATTTTGAGTTTGTTTATTGGATTAAAACTGACTTGGAATTTGCTGAGGTGGGGGATATTTGGTTTAGAAAGAAGGGTTGTTCTTTACACACTAGGAGGCCTAGAATTGAGGGTGATAAGGACATAGTTGAGTTTCTTGAAGCACCTGAGAAAGATGGTTTTTATCACCTTTATGTTGTGCATGAAGACCGGGTGGGGGTTGTAGACACCCATTTGTGTCTCCCCAAAACCAAACCCAGTGATGAATGCCTTTCACGTCGGATTATAATCGAATGAAACGAAAGTGTGGAAAGGTCTAGTGTTGCGGAAAGTTTTATTTCTTTTCTTTTCTCTTCTCTCTGTTTTTGAAAACTTTATTTTAAGAAAACAGTCAATCCAGTTTGGTTGGTCCATGATATGGGTCTAATAGTGGTGTAGTTAGATGGGGCTTGCAAAGACCTTTCCAACGATATATTATAAGCCCAATTCCGATGAATATTGAGGAAGTTATGGCCAATTTACTAAACTGGGCCCGGTTTGAGTTTTAAGTACGGCCCAATGATCTAGGGGAGGGCCTAATATGATTTATCATTCCTAATGTAATTAGGAATGGTTTCGGTCTTCTAGAACATTCTAGAAGGTCTTATCATTCTTAATTCAATTAGGATTCTTTAGAGTTTTAGTTAGATCAAATAGCATTTCCGACTGAAATTATATTATTTTATCTTCCAGTACGGTAAAATTATCAGATTTTCGAAAACGTGTTAAAAGCCGGTTTGGCGTCCAACCCCAGGCCTTGGCGCCTGGAACCAGGATTGGCGCCAGACGCCAGCCATTGGCGCCTGGCGCTAGCCACTGGTCCTGGCGCCAATGAGCCAGGGCTGGCGCCAAGTTGGTTCTGTGGTCTTCAGACTCTGTTTTGATAAATTATCTTTTTTGGCTGATTTTCTCTATAAATATCGTATCAAAAATTCCGTTTTCATGCACCAATTATCAACTATCTTCATCATCTACAATCAACAATCATCAACATTCATCAATTCTCCTTATTCTTTATCATTCATCTCATTCATCCAATTCTCTCTATTCATCATCTTTCTTTCATCAATTCTGAATAACATTAATCTGTTAGCATTCTTTCTTTCTGTTAGCATTCCAGCGCCAAGGCCTGGGGTTCAAGCTAGTGGGATTTTAAAGGCTTGAAACTATTCCCTACAGTTTTTTGGCGACTCCACTGGGGGAGGATTTCTATTTTAATTCCTGAATTTG